TTAAGTTGCTTAAACACCTATAAACAAAACAGCATCATGTATGTATGCATAGTTTAATACAAAGGGCGGAAAGCCAATCACACAGAGTACATTTTTCATTTAAAAACATGAGATGCAGTGGGATGGGGAAAAAAACCCCACCATAAAGTCTCGATATATGTTTTTTTTTTTTTTCAAAGTTTAACTTGCATTAATTTTACATGGCTTTCTAAACATGCGGCTTCTGTGTGAATGGCTTGGTTTCGGTTTTGATGCAGCAGCGCCGCATCTAGTGGCTTCAACTGGATAGACTAACAAAAGCATTATAAAGCAACGACACTTACATTGTCATCGCATCTCGTGCGCCACTGATAAGGCTGCCTCCTTAACGCACACCTAAAATTCGAATGCAACGTTTTTGCATTCGAATGTGGATTTTTATTTTAAATTAGATGAATATTCGAAATTCGACAGCCCTAGTATGAACTACAAAGTTTGACAAAGTTTTCCACTTTCTGTCAGAATCAGACACTTCTGTCGATCACAGTGTGTGTAAATATTGATTATCTTGTTGCACAGCTTGGCTGATTAAAACTTCTAATTAAATGGTAGGACCAGTAATCATACACACACCAGGTTGAATAGAAAGGGTCATAAACCATAAATGAATTAATAAGCCTGGTGTAAACATTAATATGAAAGTCAGTAACAAATCACACAAACTAAAGTAGATTGCAGAAATATAAAAACAAATCTGTTGCTTTACCACACTACTTTAGGTAATTCAAAGTCACTGTAATAAACATATGTAAACATGTGGACTGCGCTTTTTAAACACTGTCTGTTAAATTTAGACCAGTGGTTCTCAAACTTTTTTGGTCGCGCCCCCCTTTAAACCTATAAAAAAATCTGGCCCCCCTTTCCCGAATCCCCATCCCACCTCAGACTACCAAATAATTTCAATAATTATGAAAAATTTATGTTTTTTTTTTATTAAAAAAACCTACAGGGAAAAAAAAAAACACCTGCATCACTTGAAACATTGAAAAATAGCATAGAGAGAATAACTTATTATTATTATTCTCTCTCTGTTATTTATTTATTTTTTGTGGGTTTCATGCTGTCCGCAAAGGCATAGGACACACACAGGCTTTCCTCCTCACCAACGACATTAAACACCGTGTCTACACCGGACGCGAGCGGCAAAATACAGTAGAACCGTTATAATCAGTGACGCTGTGTACACTGGATGCGACGCGACATTAAACTGATGCCTTGTTCTATTTATGACGTACGGACACAAAGTTAATATGATTTGCAACGGTCGCTTTGTCGCGTCCAGTGTAGACTTGTGGCGCGACGCGACAACTGTAGTGTATAGACACAGTGAGTGAAGCCGAGAGCAAGATATGCCTCGTCATATTTTATGCATTTAGCTTTTGAATGACCAGCACCTGCCTGGGTCTGTGCGACTTCATCTATGGCTTTTCTCTTCCCTTTCACAAACCGATCCATCTCCCATTCTAAGTTACGTCCTTTGGCTGTTTATTGTTTTATTTCTTTTCTTTTTCTGCTGATGGCCCGCGCTTGAATTGAAGCAGCGCTGCTTAGACCAATGGGTGTGTGTCATCAACAGTGTTGCCAACTAATTTTCTTGGGAAGTTGCTAAAGGAAGGTCGATCTGTTGCTAAAAGTTGCTAAATTACATTGTGATGTCATTGCGCGATGACGTCATCACGTAATCACGCTGCAAAATCGTGTCACTGCATCAAATTTCAGCAAAAAATATATTTTATATATGTTAATTTTGATTTGTTCGTTAAATAATATTAATGCATAATATAATAATATAAAAATATAAATAACTATTTTTAAATACAATACTGAATTATTGAACACACACATTTTTGAACAATTACAATTTAAGTTTTTTTATGAACATAACATTTTTTTATTAGCTATTTTTTTATTTAAGTTTTTTTATTAAACTAGTAAAACTACACATTCTGAACAACACTGTTTTAAGCAGTGTATTGGTAGTTTGTTAGTATGCTACACTCTAAGAAAAGTCTGTAAAAATAGTCTACTATATGAAGGAATTTTCCGTATTGATTTTTCACAGGTTTTTTACCTGCATTTTAAATTACGCATTGTATTTTGTGTTTTTGGGTTACACCGGATAATGGATAACGGATAATTCCTGGAAAATTACTACCTTTTCCATTTTTCTAGATCAACTAACTAATCAACAATCACAGGTACAAGCTACTAACAAGGTGCATCACATCACGTGAATTAAGTTAACTGCTATTTGCAATTTTTTAATAATAATTAGGTGTGTTCGACTTGAAGCAGCGCTGTGCAGACCGATCGGTGTTTGACATCAAAGCATCGCGAGAGCGATTAGAAATCATGCAGATCCGTCTGCTCTCTATTCTATTAGCTCTCACGGTACTTTGATGTCATACACCGATCGGTTTGCGCAGCGCCGCTTCAAGTCAAACACACCTAATTATTATTGAACAATTGCAAATAGCAGTTAACTTAATTCACGTGATGTGTGTACTGCTAGGCATCTTTGGTTTCCTCTTTTTGTCTAAATTTATTTAGCAACTTTTCTAGTTGCTAAATAAATAAAAAACATTGCTAAATTTGTTGCTAGATGCTTTTGGAAGAAAAAGTTGCTAGGGTAATCTGAAAAGTTGCTAAATCTAGCAACAAAATTGCTAAGTTGGCAACACTCCAAAGTACTGCGAGAGCTATAAGAGAGATATATAAGAGATTGATCTTCAAGTCGAACACACCTCTTTACTCTCGCGTGTCACGTGACCGTGTAATCGCAGCCTCTGCGATTGAAAAATTTTAATATTATCGCAAATGCAATTAATCGTTCTGCCCTAATATAAATTCTGTGTTCTTTGGTTTCAAGTCTTTGGTTTGCTGACTGCTTTGTGAGGGAGACACAGAACAGACAGTTCACACCCATCAGTAATCAAGTTTTTATTGTTCAAAACCAGAGATGTACACTGTGAAGTCATGCTCAGTGTGAATGGGCCTTAACAACCTCATGGTTCATTGTAGATGTACAAGAATGACAAAAGTACAAACAGGGTCTGGGGCAAGAAATTATGTTTGGAAATGCATTTGTTTACCGTGTTATTGTGTTGGATCCTCTTTACTCTGCATCTTGTTTGTTTCACAAGTCTTTTATCCTTGCTCAACGAAAGGTGCTCTTGGAGGAGTATATGATGCTGATGGCGATGGAGACTTTGATGTAGAAGATGCCAAAGTTTTGTTGGGTGAGTGGAATTTACTTGTGTATGTGGCTTTTTTCCTGCATCACTGACTAAGGTCACACACACACACACACACACACACACACACACACACGCCTTAATTCACGTGATGTGTGTACTGCTAGGCATCTTTGGTTTCCTCTTTTTGTCTAAATTTATTTAGCAACTTTTCTAGTTGCTAAATAAATAAAAAACATTGCTAAATTTGTTGCTAGATGCTTTTGGAAGAAAAAGTTGCTAGGGTAATCTGAAAAGTTGCTAAATCTAGCAACAAAATTGCTAAGTTGGCAACACTCCAAAGTACTGCGAGAGCTATAAGAGAGATATATAAGAGATTGATCTTCAAGTCGAACACACCTCTTTACTCTCGCGTGTCACGTGACCGTGTAATCGCAGCCTCTGCGATTGAAAAATTTTAATATTATCGCAAATGCAATTAATCGTTCTGCCCTAATATAAATTCTGTGTTCTTTGGTTTCAAGTCTTTGGTTTGCTGACTGCTTTGTGAGGGAGACACAGAACAGACAGTTCACACCCATCAGTAATCAAGTTTTTATTGTTCAAAACCAGAGATGTACACTGTGAAGTCATGCTCAGTGTGAATGGGCCTTAACAACCTCATGGTTCATTGTAGATGTACAAGAATGACAAAAGTACAAACAGGGTCTGGGGCAAGAAATTATGTTTGGAAATGCATTTGTTTACCGTGTTATTGTGTTGGATCCTCTTTACTCTGCATCTTGTTTGTTTCACAAGTCTTTTATCCTTGCTCAACGAAAGGTGCTCTTGGAGGAGTATATGATGCTGATGGCGATGGAGACTTTGATGTAGAAGATGCCAAAGTTTTGTTGGGTGAGTGGAATTTACTTGTGTATGTGGCTTTTTTCCTGCATCACTGACTAAGGTCACACACACACACACACACACACACACACACACACACGCACATATTTTTCAGACTTAAGATAACTAATTGGTCTAAAGAAGCTTTTCCTGTGCCACTCAATTTAAATGTGAAGGTAGTATACTCCTCCACTATGTCTCAAAAGCATAAGTGTGTCTGCATTTGAGGTTTCCTGTTATTTGATTGTGTTAGCAAATACTTAGCATGTAACTATTTAGTTTTGTGTTAGTGAGGCTGGCATCTCATAGCTCAGAGTGTTTGTTTTTTTCTTTGTTATAAACTTTATTTATAGTTCTGACACATTCAGAATTATCACTGGCAGTTGGTGTGGCAAATGTGTTATCTTGGTAGTGAGCAGTAAGCTTTGTCTCATTAAAGAACAGATGAGACATTGTCCTACTCAGATCTGATTCACAGTATCTTTTCCACAAACGCAGGGCTACTTATTGAAAATTACTTTGTAATCAATTTTTAATTTTTTTATTTTTTTTATAATTAATTATGAAAGTGGAGACAGAGTAGTCTGTTTATTGACTGGAAATATTATTTCCACTAAAGCTGCACATGAACATATGCTTTCTACAGCAAACACACATTGCATAAGTGACTCCACAAATTATCCTGCTTTGCAAGCTTCACACTGATTTGCTTCCTGAATGGGTTGTTACAATCTGTGGATAAAATCAAGTTTTTGTTTTGTTTTGTTTTTTTGGAATGTCAGGTAAGTGTAAAGTGATTGGCTTATATGCAGTGGTTAATAACAGCTGTAGTGTTTTCTGGTGATAGTCAGCGAGCGTTTATTTATCTTTATATGCGTGTACATATGTGCCTTTCTATTTATGGGGATCATTCTTATAACTTTCTCTCCTTCAGAGAATGCTACTGTGGCTACTAAGGAAAAAACCTTAAGAAAAAATATCACAACGGAGGGAGACAGTATACAAGCAGGCCATTCCAAGCATACATGTAAAGACATTTTGTGGCTATCACAGCCACTTGTACCTATGTTTTATGTTTGTCGATTGTGTTTGCTTGCACCGAGAAAGCTGCAAAAAGATGTAGCTTTTCTGTTACACTGCTGCTTCTCTTCAGTTCACCCCACTCATTTTCTATAGGGTTCAGGTCAGGGAACAGGGACGTCCATTCCAGAAGCTTCATTTTGTGCTCATATACAAGCAGGCCATTCCAAGCATACATGTAAAGACATTTTGTGGCTATCACAGCCACTTGTACCTATGTTTTATGTTTGTCGATTGTGTTTGCTTGCACCGAGAAAGCTGCAAAAAGATGTAGCTTTTCTGTTACACTGGCATGTTGGAAGGTATCCATTGGTGTGTTGTTTGAGGTCTTTGAATAAGCATTTTATTCTGACTTGGCTCTTGGCACACAACATTGACTGAAGTGGATTCATGAGACTGGAGTGTATGGTTAAAAATGAACTTTTCAAATGGACAAATAAATGGTTAATTGTAACAACAAAACAAAATAAATTTACTTCAATTTTAAAAATATTTAATTAATGTTTAAAATATTATGTAAATTTATTTTATGAATAAATAACGTTAGTTTTTGCAGAATGATTAAACAGTATTTGGTGAATAGATTAAGAAAAGCAATTAGAATTATCAATTTATTATTATTATTGTTATATTTAGCTGCATTTTTAAACATACATTAATTTGTTTTAAATAAATCTATTTGTCAATTTGAAAAGTTTTTTTTTTTTTTTGCATTTTTTATAATATAATGATAATTTCTGTTTTTTATAATCAACACTTTCAATTGTTTTTATTTTAAGTGGCACTGCTCGTCCTCCATGTAGTTGTTGGCTGATGCATCACTTTGTAGATCCCTGCATGGGTTGCAACATTTTTATTGAGAAGGTCATCTGTGTGTAATGCAATGTGCTTCAACAATATTGACCATCACAACAGTAATGAAAATGTTTTAATTTGCACATACAGTACTTATACTCATCTTGTACTTGTATGCATAAAAAATCTCTATGATTTTCTTATAAGGACACACAAGTTTTTAATTTCCCAAATTCAGTTCACAGTATTGAGTGTATTTTTCTTAAACACGTTCTAACCTTTAAAAATGGAATTAGAACCAGCATCTGTAACAAAACACAACAACAACAAAAAAATAAAAGAAAAGGTCAAAATTATAGATCAGATTTGTGGAATCTAAGCATATTAGCTTTTTGTTATTGAGAAATGTGAAATTATGTATTGAAATTCAATACTGAAACAGTATTGGTATTATATTTATATATATATAT